ATTCTTGCTTAAGGCCGCGTGCCGCTAACAAAAACATATGTTTCGATATATCTTCCTTATTTTCCTCGAGAAAAGGGATAGTATGAGTTTGGAAGAAATACTTGTCATTTTCCAAAATTACGAGCGATTAAATACTCCAAAAATCTTGAAAATTCTCCCAAAGAATTTGATGTCAACGGCCGCGGCCGGATGCGAAACACATCAGTATAAAAAAGGAGAATAGAAAGATAGATTTACAGAATGAAAGAAAATAAGTACTTATCATAGCCCGTCATTTTTTTACAGTGTTCAACATCCTGACGAAGGAATGCACCGGAGGTAAAATGAAATTTTTGGATTGTAAAAGTTTTGTTATGACGAATCGGTAAAAAACCTCCCCTTTGTCTTAAGTTAAAGAAAAAAAATAAACAATCTTTTGCGCTGAGGGAAGAGTGGAAATCCATGTTAAATATTTATAGCTTAAATCCCACCATTTTTGTGTTCTCTCACATCTGAAATCGAAATAGAATGATCCAGCATGTTAGGCGACCAAGAAAGGAAACGCCTTAATTTACGAGCAGTTTAAAGGAAACAATGGAGCTTTTTATGTAACTATTGAAAATGAACTCGAGATTATTATTGCGACAGTTGTCAAGGAGAAGCGCTGGAATCGACTTTCGGGAGCGAACAATCTAATTGGTTTAACATAAATCTACTTTTCGTTTAAAGCTTAACAACAAAACAAGAAATTGTTTTGTATAATTGTTCTTTGTCGCACACTTATCGATCTCAAGATGATAATCTAATTATGACTGCTGCGATATCGGTTTTCAAATGCAATTTAACGCAGATTTCACGAGTCAAGGGATCGATTTTCCTTGAATCGCATAATTGAATAGAAATAAGAAAAAAAAAAAAGGAAACAGCTTCAACTAAGCTAATCTTAGAATCTTAATCATACTGTCATAAATCACAGTCATTTTGATTCCCCTTCCTTCAAAATTGTTAATTGCTAAAAGCCTGGCCACGTTGTCTTTCCTTTTCCTTATGTGAAATAGTGTTTAATGGAGCTGGAAGTAGCAAGGACACATAGACTCATCGGATGGATGGCCTTCTTAAGCTTTGAAGACCAAACATTTTGAAAGAGCTAGTCCCGTATGTTTTTTTTCAAAGTAGAGATTTGACTATAGGGCCTGTTCGCAGTACGCGAAATTTTGTTTGTTTTGCAAAAAAATCTGTCAACGCGAAACCATTTTCAGTGCGAACGATTTTTTTTGACCCACCAAAATTTTCGCAAGAGCCACCAAACTTCAAAGATGCCATCGACTAGGTTTGGAGGCCAACGATTTTTTGTCGGGCGAGAAAATCTATTGTCCCTTGACAGGTACTTTTCAACTGGTCATCATCTTTCATAATTGATACCAGGCAAAAGGATATTATGCACCTACGTGACCCCATTACCGCCATTTAGAGATGGATCCACGAGGCGAAAGGTCGGACCAGCAAAGCGGTCCTGCACCCTTCGTTCCAAACTCTTACTTTCCTGAACCTCAATATTACAGTGTTAATTATTACGGATCTCAATGCTATTACGACGAGCCACAGCCACTGCTACAGTATTACTGCGTTCAACCACACGTTGCAGGCGCTAGCGCTTCGATGCGAAACGAAGTTGCTGAGATTTCCGAAGAAAGCATCGAAGGCGCAAAAACCTCTGGCCGGCGGGTAAGAGAAAAAGTGCAAAGTATGAGACATTTCCTCAAGCCGAAGAAAGACACCTGTATTAAAGTCTACAGGATCCGTAAAAGCTGAATCCTTCCCAACAAAAGCAGAAGTAACTGATGACTAGTCATCAGTTACATGGCATGCAAACAACAAAGAAGGGCGATTAAAACATTTCGCGGGGGCATTTTGCTTTGCGACAGCCTTTGACCGGGAACGATCAAAGGAAACGCACTGTCACGGAATCTCGGTAGCTATTTCGATTGATTGACATTTGTGGTTACACAAATAATTCGCACGTCTTAAGTGCGAAGCTATTATGAAAAAAAAAATTCGCTGTAACAAAATTTTCAATTTTTTTGCAAATACCAAACCAAATTTTTCGGTGTAGTGCGAACAGGCCCTATGATGACTTTGCTATCGATGGATAGCCCTCTTAAGGCCTACAGACCAAATATTTTTAGCTTTCTTCGTGTGAACGAGTTTGTCCCAGATGTTTTTTGTTTAAATAGAGATTGGTCATAAGTGAAGAGTATCTATAAAGCTTTGATTGGTTCCCTTGACCAATGCATAACGAGGGGTTTTTCCTCGTTATCCTTGAGAGACCCAATCCACCTAGCTTCTGTTTTATCGAACTGTTGACTTCGAGTCAGCATGAACTTTTAAATATATCCAGTTATTTAAATAATGCACTCGCTGAGTAAAGAATTAAAAGCACAGCAGCGGTATCGTGTGTATATTGGAGAAGCTTATAATTCCTTTGTCGAAAATTTTAATTCCATATTTTTCGGGATTTTCTCGAGTAGCAATTGCAAAGAAAAAGTGACAGAGAGGGTGGGGGTCTCCCCGTCTCAAGCCCCGTTCTAACGTAAAATACCCTGATGCCAAACAACAATTTAAAACACAGCTCTGAATGTTTTGATAGTATTTTTCAACCCAGTTCATTGAATCCGAGCCAACGTTACAAGGTTTTAGAAAGCTGAAAAGGTGTTTCCATCAGGCTAA